CGCCCCCGCCACCAAATCCACAGACGTTCAAGTCCCTTATATAAAATGGCATGTATTTGCATATAACATATGTATATCCTCCTGTGTACTTTAAATCATCTCTAGATTACTTATAATACTAGTACAATGTAGATGCTGTTAAGTAGTTGTTATGCTGTATTATCTTTTTATTTGTATTATTTTTTATTGTTATATTATTTTGTTTTTGTTTTTTGAATTCAGAACCTGCCAATAGGGAGGGCTGACTGTACTGGTCCGCAAAGAGGTAAGGAGCTTGTGCCTGAATGTAACTCAGTGTGCTACTTCCTTCATTGAGAAAGGCTTGTAAGCCCCTCCACCTCCACCCTTTTCCCGCAAAAAAGTCATCTAGACAAAACTGTGCTTAGTCATGAAGTTGATTTGCATTCTGGCACAAACTCCTTATCTTGCACCAACCAAAATAAACAGTTCTTGGATTGGCAGTATGAACAGACCAGAACTGGTGCACGGGCCACAGTTGGCGTGGCACTGGCCTAGAGTATAAACTTCTGAGGGGGGTGGAGTTAGAGGTCCCTGAAGATAAAGGATGTTGGGAAAGTGAATCCGGGGTGCGGTTTGGAGCACCAGGAGAAGAGTTCTTTAGAAATATAGGAAAGGGACTGTAGACTGGTAGATGATCACAGGACAAGAATGGGAAGAGAGCATTAGAGCCATGTGATCTAGGGTCAGAGACAATGGAGGGCCATTGAATGAAGGTCTCCGGTGACAGTGGGAACAAGCAAAAAAAGCCTATTGGCCTCCCAGGTACTTAGGTGGGTTGTGTGAGAAGGGTTTATGAGAAGGAACAGTCTTCACTTAACAACGGATGTCAGTGACAACCTCAGTGGTCTTTGTTTCCCTAATCTTTGGGGGCAAATTATGTGCTGGGTTTTTTTTGTCTCATTTCAACAGAGGCAAAGGAACAGCAAAGGTGTACAGGAACAAAATTTCTCTGAGTTGACTGGTATAATCAAGCAATACATTGATGGCAGAGATATTCTTAGGACTTCTGTTGTTAGATAGGAAGCAGAAATCTGTAAGAGACAGAATATTAACTGAAAATGTGATATTAAACTGAAAACTTTAATGTTAAGTTAAAATATTAACTGAAAATATAAATTATATGTAATATCTATTAAAGGATGTAATAGATAAGCCATTGTTAGGATAAAATTTTCTTACAAGAAGCATATATTAGACCATTTAAAATTTTTTTTATTTTCTGTAGTAACTGTTTTCACAAGCTAGAACTCAATTATTTAAGTCTAAGCATCTTTCCATAAATGTATGATGAGTCCTACCTAGTCTATTTGGTAATCTCATGAAAAATTTTTTTTTTTTTTTTTTTTTTAAAAGATGACCGGTACGGGGATCTTAACCCTTGAGTTGGTGTTGTCAGCCCCATGCTCAGCCAGTGAGCGAACCGGCCATCCCTATGTGGGATCCGAACCCGGGGCCTTGGTGTTATTAGCACCGCACTCTACCGAGTGAGCCACGGGCCGGCCCGTAAATTTTAATTATGATTTCCCAAAGTATATTTAGTAAATAAAAACATTTTCGTAGGAAAGTAAAATCATTCTTATATGTAATTTTTCTCCCATGTTTAAATTTAGCTTAATGTCCACAGTCAAAGACTATGAAGGACTATTGAATGAAAGTCTTGAGCTATAAGAGTAGTCAGAAGAGAAAAGAAATGAAAGAAAATCGTGGTTGAGAATGCAGGCTCTGAGCAAACCTGGGTTCATGGATGCCCTTGCTACATAACAACTCTGACTTTGGCCAAGTTAGGGAAGCTAAGGCTCTGTTTCCTCATGTTTAAAACAGGATAACATTATTATTTCATGGAATTGTCTTAAAGATTAAATGAGCTTTCTTAAAGTACTAATCCCAGGGTCTACCACATAATAAGCAGTCCAGAATTTTTCATTATTATTATCATTAACATTATTGTTGTTATTAAGGGAAAGCATAGGGTTTGGATTCACAAAAATCTGGATTTGCATCTCCCTTTTATTAGTTCAAGACATTATATGACCTTGGATAAGCCACTTAATGTCTCTGAAACTTCTTAGCTGTCAATGGGAGTGGTACCAGCTACCTTAGGGGATTATCATGAGAATTAAATGGTCTACATGTGTAATGCATGTGGCATAGTCCTGTGTCATAGTCTTGGCTGAGAAATGTTGGCCTTTCTTTCCTGCCCTTAATTTTTAAGTTTCTTTTCTTTCTAGTCAGGTCTTGAAAAGAGGATAGATCAGGCTGTGGAGGAGTGGAACATTGAGAAGGCCGAGGAGCTCAGCAACCAGCTAGCTACTCGAGAGGTGAGTCAAGCTGATTACACTTTTCTCTATTTTCAGATTTTCTAAAATGTATATTCTTTTTATGATCATTAAATAAGTTCAGTATTAAAATGTAAGATCTAAGATTTTTCTTTTTATCTGTTTTCTTCCATCTTATTTTGCCATTTATTTTGGAATGCTAGGCTTTATTTTTGTCTTTAAATTATTCTGGTCTAAAACTTATGCTGGAAATAATCCAGGATTGATACTCAACCTTAGATTTTACGTAGATCAGACAGGGTTTTTTTCCAGGTATGATTAAAAGGCTAGCTTTCTGTTTCCATTTGCATCTTAACTCAGTTTAACTCTCCCTGAAGACAGCTATATGTTCTAAAGTCACTTCTCTCAATCTTTTCTTAACCCTTGCTAAAATGCTTTCTTTCTGCATATTCTGCACATCCTGCTCAGCCTTTTTTCCTATAGTCTATAGTATAAAACTAATGGATATATTGAGTATTCTTTTTCCAACTACAGAAGGCCACAGGAAGGTGCCCCTAGTTGAGAATTAATGTCACATGTAGACCAAAGAATTCATGCTGGTGTGTGCTTTGTGTTTGTCATCGTTTATAATTCCTTTCTGACCTTTCCAGGAAAAAACCCTCTATCATAGCTTTTGGTTTTAGTGCCTGGGTCCTTCCCTCCTTCACCTCGTTCTTCAACTCTCATACGCCATGGCGTTTAGTTGCATAGAGAGCATCATGGGTTATCTGTGCACACTCCTGGCCACACTCACTGTTCTACTTGCAGATGAACTTTGTTCCTAAACTGAGGCTAAAGGGAAACTTAATATTTTAGTAAATTCTTCTATGGAAATACCATTGCGCACTTCCATCATCAGATGTCAGACAATCTGTCACTGATATGGCTGTTTGTTGTGACTGTTGCACTTTCTTTTTCTTTCTGTTTTTGGCCGCAGGCCTTAAATATCTTGTGAATTTCCTAGTTTTGTGTAAGGGAAAAAACCAGTTCAGAAGAGAGGCTTAGGGATTCAGAAATTATTATTTTTTCTTTAAGCCTTTTGAAATCATTTGCCACATTAAATATTTCTGTGTATTGTGTTTGTGTGTGTGTGTGTGTGCTTACTAATGGCTAATATAAAGGAAATTTATAGCCATGGGCTTCAGTTAGGGACATAGGCAAGAGGTAGCATTAATGGCAGTTATGTGGCCTTTCAAAAAATAAACTTGTTTTTTGAAGTTTTTTCTTTATTGTGGTAAAATATGCATAAAATAAAATTTAGCATTTTAACCACTTTTAAGTGGACAGTTCAGTGGCATTAGGTACATTCACATTTTGTACAGCCATTACCACCATCCGTTTCCAGAATTCTTTTCACCTTGCTAAACTGAAACTCTGTACCCATTAAAAACTGACACCCTATTCTGCCCTTCACTCAGCCCTTAACAACCATCCCTCTGTCTCTATGAATTTGACTGTTGTAGTTACCTTATATAAGTGGAATCATACAATATTTGTCCTTTTGTGTCTGGTGTATTTTACTTAGCATAATGTCTTCAGGGGTTATCTATGTTGTAGTATGTGTCAGAATTTCCTTCCTTTTTAAGGCTGAATAATGCTGCCTTGTATGTGTTTGTTACAGTCAGGGTATTTGTTACATTTTGTTTATGCATTCATCTTCCAGTGGACACTTGGGTTGCTTCCACCTTTTGACTATTGGGAATAATGCTGCTATGAACATGGGTGTACAATATCTGTCTGAATCCCTGCTTTCAATTCTTTTGGGTATATAGAATTCATGGATCACTAAAAAAAAAAAAGATTTCTAATATTTGCTTTTTTTCTTTTAAGATATCATTCACCCCTTCCCGTCTTATAATACTTCTTGTGCTTGCAGTTTGACACTCTGTTTTTTCTCTAAAGTAGCCATATTTTGATTTATTGTGTATAGCTTTCATTATAGAAAGATAAAAGTATTACATTTTTGGTTAAATAAATTTGAAAGCATGTTGAAGGGTGCTACAAACTCAATAGGATTTCCTCATTACTTGTTGGTTATTACAGTGGCTTTCTTCAGTATGAGTAAGATAGGGGTCCTTATCCTTCCATGATGGGCTGTGTGCTAAAGATCATCTTTAAAATTCTGTTCAATACACATAGCATCTATTGTTTGTTACTAAGTATACTATTTTGGCACAGGGAACTTACATTTTCGTAGAAGTGCTGTTAGAAATAGTGGCATAGTTTTTTGACCAGCTTGAAAATATAGTTAGCACAAAAGATAGCAAAATCCTAACAGTAGCGTATCTAATACCCAGATTTCAGAGAGTTGACCATGAAAATATCAGGGAATGGTGGGGAGGGGCAGTGCTTGTGGGTTGGAAGAGACTGTAATGGGTAGATCTCTTTCATGACTATAAGGATGGGGAGTACTCATACAGTAGGACATTGTGATGGGGATAGTGAGGTATGGCTCAAAATCTAAGGGGGTTTTCAGGATCTGAAAAGCACATGGACAGCAGTAACCAATCACTGGTCTGCATCATGCGTAAGTATGGGGTATGGAAGCTGTGGCAGCCTGGTCTGAATGTCTGCCTCATTTGGACCAGGAACAAAACTTCAGAGAACTGGTACTTAAATGCATCACTGGTGATAAACCAATTCATGTTGTGCCACATATTGAACAAGTGTCTCTTGAACCCCTTTAAAAACTGTGAATATGTTACTGGTTGCTGTCAGATGCTGGCTGGTCTGCAGTCTGCTAGAAAGTTCCAGTAAAGCTTAAGACAGGCACATTAAGAAAATCCAGCAGGGCTGTAGAGTATGGTTGCCCTACTGTTTTTTTAGAAATGCTGTGGATTTCTGTCTCTTCACTGGTCTGTTCAGGATCCCAGGACTCACCAAACTGGTGTCCCATTGCCATTGCCATTGCCTGTGCAGCCTTCCTTTTGGAAGACCCAAGAGTTGGGTATTATATGATCTCTTCCAGATAACAAGGTGACTGGGACTAGCAGAGTCCCCCAGGTCAGTCACTTTCCTCAGATTTTTCCCTGCTAAAGGAAGAAAGGGTAAGGCAAAGCTGAGGCTACAGTGTTGAAATGTGGCCTCCACAAAGCCCATCAGTTGCTGTCCATTTTCCTTTTTCTGCTTATTAGCACTCCCACCTGAAGTGAGGGGAATTCACAGAGAAGCATTTATTTTACTGCAGTGTTTGTGTTCCTCTTAGTAGAATTAGTAATACTGAAATTTTGAGTTGAACACATTTTACCTTTTTAAAAAAAACTTTTATTTTGAAATTATTTCAGACTTTCAGAAAGTTGCAAAATTTGTAAAAAGATTTCCCATTTACCCTTTACTCAGACACCTGAAATGTTCACATTTTGCATCATTTGCTTTTATTCTCTCTAATCTGTGCACTTTATTTAAATTTGCCGATTGTCTCACTGATTATAGCAAAAGAAAATTTTTTTTTTCCTGTTCTACAGCATTGCATTTTGTTGTCACGTCTTTTTTGGTCTTCTTTAATCTGGAATATTTACTCAGTCTTTGTTTCTTAGGACCTTAACGTTTTTGAAGAGTAGAGGCCAAGTATTTTGTAGCATATCCCTCAGTTTTGTTTTGTCTGATGTTTCCTCATGATTAATTTCAGGTTATATATTTTTGGCAGGAAAATCTCAGAAGTGATGGTGCGTCCTCAATACAAGTTATCCAGGGACACACGCTTTCTGTTTTTCACATTTATTGGTGGTATTACTTTGATTATTTGTTAAGGTGGTGTCTCCGGGTTTCTCTACTGTAAAGTTACTATTATCCCCTATGTAATGAATAGATATCTCATGGGGAGATGGGCGATAGATAACATGAGACTGTGTGAATATTCTCTTTCTCATTATACTTTCACCCCGTGGTTTTGGCATGCATTGCCAAGTTTTTTCCTGCTTGAGACAATTATTATTATGGTGATTGCCAAATGATTTGATTATAATCGTGATTTGATTATACTTTTCATTTTTACCTGGCAAACCAAATCTAAAATTTGGCTTAAGTGAGATATTGGATTATAGAATCTTTTATGTATTCATGTTAAATCTCTCAGTAAACCTTGACAATTGAGATTCAGATACAGTTTTCCTAAATGGTGTGCAGGGCTAGGATGGAATTGCCATGTGACATTCTGCCACCAGTGGTGAGCATATTAAATCCACCCTTGTCTACCTCACTAGTATTCACTGTTGAGCTTTCCTTTCTGTGTGCAGTTTGAAGCTGCTTGTCAAAACATTGAGAAGTAGTGCCTTAGAGGCTTCAGAAATGTGTGTTTCCTTTGAGGATATTAGTTTTCTGTTCTGATGTTTTGTTTTGTCATACTGCTGTTTTAGAAATGAGAATTGTATAATACTGACTAGGTGCTTTCCATTTTAAGGGTTGTTATTTCTTGTCACACTTTATGACAAATGAGATTGCTTTAGAAATACACGTTATTTTCAGCATTTGTTATGGATAGTAAACATTTTTCTCAAGTGTTCTTTCTACTTCCATATAAATATAATGCTTTGTTCTGGTAAAATAAATTAGACTTATTTAGCATGGGATTATAGAATTCTGATTAAAAGAAAAAAACAATAATGTGGGCCTTATTCTTTTCCCTGTGTGAGTGGGAAAACATCTGGGAAATGTTTGCTGTTCAGACAAAGACATTAGAGAGATACTGATGCCATGTTATTAAGCACCCGTGAAGAATAACTAATCAAGTTGAAATTCTTGAAATAGTAGTTAAGTTTGAGATTTAAGTTTTTATATTTATCCCCTTGGTGCCAATCACTATGGATATGATAGATGGGATTTTGAGAAGTAAGTGTGAGTTTGAGGCAGAAGCCCTTTATGAATTAAATGTATACATGCATGGTAGGTGTCCTTTTGGAAATCAGGTATATTGGGTTTTAATCAGTACCGTTTTCCTTTTTCAAGCAGCTGTGACTGGGACCTGCTGATAAAGCCTTTGCTCAGAGGCACAGATCCCAGAGTTC